CTAATATTTTAAATACCTATGCATGTCCCCGAAGTAAAATATAAAGTGAATACAATATTGTTGCATACTATTAATAAATAATTTGATTACACTGCCATCTCTCAAAACATTTTGAAAAACTATTTATTAAACCGAAATGACTGCACTTCGGAAGTTTAAACGTATTTAGTGAAGAGATATCATGAGATTTACACAGATGGCGCTGATGCCAATAAATAATACTATCAACAATAGATGGCGTTTTTCACCTATGTTAAAAACGCCATCTTTCGAAAAACAGCAAACCAAAGATTACTTAATAAATGATCATACTAAATCTTATTAATTAATCTTTTTGTGAATTTGTCACCCTACATATTCTTTCGAATAAACTCCATCAGTACAGATAAATTTCGCTTCTTGTTCTTTCATTTTTGGTTTTATTAAATGTCGTTATTTAGATCGTTTTTTAATGATATGATCTTATCTTAGTGAAAAACTAAGTACGGAACTTACATTATTACATAGAAATATCCTTACCCTTTAACAACGCCATCTCTGCACGATATAATGTATTAAAACTCGTAATCCTGACACTAAAAACCTTATAAGAAAACTATATAAGAAAAACTCCGTTCCACAATTCTAATTAATACATCTTTCTATTTAGATTTAAATATTAATTGGCTTCGTTAATATAGTCAAAGGTTTAAAATCTTTTGAAGGAATGTTGACAGAAGTCTGTAATCGGCTTATGTATGCACGTGGCGCTAAGAACTCTGTGCAAATATTAAGGGTCAAGGGAACGATGCAATTTAATATTTAATATTATCTAATGACTGATTATAATTATATTGACTAATAATTTGATTAAAAAACTCCGACGCTATTTTTTATATGTATATATGGTTTATTGATATTATATCTTTGCTTTACCTAAACATAACCACATAGCTTTCGCTAGTTAGATATTATTCTTCTCTTACAATATGTCAATATTTTATGTATCTTTCTCCAAAATATAAAATATATATTATAATTTACGATAATAGGTACCTAATAGAACCGTAAATCGTATCTAATACCTAATTAACACTTTCTAATAAAATTACTTACAACATAGGTAGTTTTATTACCAAATAGTTACGTATAATTTTAATAATAATAAATAACTTAATAATAAATCCTCTTATTTAGTTTCGTCGCAGTCGGTTAAAAAGTGTTATATCTAAGTACCTATAACTAAAATGACTTTAAGTTTAATGTTTTCAGTTAAACCAAAAAAGAAATAACGAATAAGTACTTACGTGTTAAGTAAATTTATTAGTTAGTTCTTATCTTATTTGTCTTTAGTTTCTTTTATTTTGAAGAAAAGAAACGGAACGAAAAAGATAGTTTCGATTATTGATAATTATTTTCAAGTCCAAGAATATAGGTAATTACTTACAAGTACTTATTCTATTAGGTATAACATCTCCCGGAAACGTACAAACGGTCGTAAAATTTCAGAGATTTGAAAATTTTATCCATTAAACACAAAAAAATCCACATAATAATTATACCTAATTGATAAGTCTCACGAATCACGACTCATATCAAATACAAAACACATACCTACCTACATACGTGCTACTTTTAACAATAAATAAACTTTTAGTTCTAAAATTCTTTAATAGGTATATAAAGTATATATTGCTATTGCAGGTTGTTATTCATACTTAAATTAAAAGTAATTATTTTTCGGATATACCTACTACGCTACTTTACGCGATTTTTTTAGTATCTCCGAAAAATATTAGTTTCGTTTAAATGAATAAAACTCTCGAAAGTCTTATCTCATTATCTATTGAAACTGTTATAAGCACAGTGTATAATGTACCTATATGTATATATGTGTGTTTGTGTGTGTGTGTGTGCGTGTGTTACGGCCTTGTTTGTAAACAATCAAGCTTGTTAGGCGCCACAGGAATTCATAGACGTGGCCAAAACGTCCTTCGCAATTTCCCATACAATTTCCACTTCCCTTATGTATGAGAGTGGATTCTGTCTATAAAATACGTGCATAGGTACATGATATAGATATAGATGACATAAGTTGATACATTTTATAGATGTAAGTAAATAAAGATATACATTAGATTATTATATCTTTTAAAAAAAATTGAAAATAGTTTTTTTATTGGTAGTCTTCAAAGTCAATGGTGGAGTTTTAAATATTGTTTTCATTAAGTCCAGATTTTTCTAAATTATAAATTATCTATAATAATAAATAAAATTTAAGTAGACATTTGTAAATTCTTATTAATAGCTTTTCGCTAAACGTAGAGTATAAGAGAGTAGGAATACGATTTCTACATATACCAAAAGTTCTATTTGTTTTACTTCAGTCAGTCTCTTTGTATCAGCTAATAATTAGTAACGGCATAACGCATTTTGACGGCAACTTCTCTGGTAGGTATATAACGTCATAAATAGTATCTTAAGTTACTTTTAAGATTGTCACATGGCGCATATCTCAAAGTAGATTTAACATGCAGGTCAAGCCGCAGGCAACAACTATATAGTACTAGCTGACCCGGCAGACTTCGTACGGCCTCAATCAAGAAATAAATTATGTCTTATTTATTTTTTTGCGACAAAATGATTGACATATTAGTTAGTTGTCAAATCTAATGTCAAAAAACCGTTTGTATGGGAAATAAAATGTCGATGTTTTTAGGGTTTTCCCGGAAATTAATAAATTTTTTTCAGCTTTTAAACCTTCCCTGAACCTCCACGAACATTTCAAGACTAAGATAAGATAAATCCGTTCAGCTGTTCTCGAGTTTTAGCGAGACTAAGGAACAGCAATCCATTTTTATATATATAGAAGACTAGTTTTTGCCCGCGACTGCGTCCGCGTTAATTTCGTCATTAGTAATATAGGTATAGCTGACCGGGCAAACTCTATTCCGTCTTCAATAACCCGGTATTGGTATTTATTAAATTTCTACTGTTTCAATCGAACAGAATGATTGACATATTAGTTAGTTGTCAAGTCTAATGTCAAAAAATCGTTTGTATGGGAAATAGAAAAGGGCTGTTTTTAGGGTTTTCCCGGCTACGATTCCAATTTTTCTCACCTTTTAAACCTTCCCTGGACTTCCAGGACTATTTCAAGACAGAAATTAGCCAAATCGGTTCAGCCGTTTTCGAGTTTTAGCGAGACTAAGGAACAGCAATCCATTTTTATATATATAGAAGATAGAAGATACATAGATAGGTTAAAATCGGTTGTCAAATAGTAAAATATTCATAAATTCTGCAATTATTTAGATGATTTTTTTTATTATTTTATTGTTAAATAACAGAATATATTTATTTATATATTTTAACATATACAGTACCTAATATATATATATATAGGAGGTTCATTTTCTAACGTCTAATCCATATTAAATAACAATTCTATACGTTTTAATTCAATTCATTTCACTAAGATTAAATCTCGTATACTTCATATCAATATAAAATCCTTGAATCTAGTATAGTAATATAGAAGTTTAGTCTAGTATTATAGTATAGTATTATAGAAGTCGTGTATCCAACAAGTTGTGTATTTTTCCCGCGTCGCGTCTTGCAGGGCGGTCCGACAAAAGTACACGCCCACTTCTTAACACAGCCTCTGGAAAATTTTGTTACTCTAATTACGATCTAATAAGATCTAAGATCGAATAAGATTTGATAAATCTTGGACTTATTAAAGTAAGTTTACAACATCGAAATGTGAGCAATTAATTTCGCAGTCATATAAAGACATTATGCTAACTCCTGTTTTCACTAATTATTATGATCATTAAACGCAAATAACTTTTATATAGAAGCAATTAGTGTATCGGAATTCTTGACTTACGTAATTACAATAGAAATTCTTTAAAAATCACTTCAATAGAAACTTTGACTTAAGTTTCGTCCAACTGAACCTTTAAAGAATTAGTTGTTGTTTTTCATATAGACATCTCTCTCAGTACAAACCACAAGAAGAGAATCTATAGAGCGAGATATAAACACTGTTACTATGAAAAACATTATAATATTTCCCTTTCAAACAATGGTACTAAAAAATGTTTGATAGAATAAAACTTGGCTCCATCCCGCTCACTCTGCACCACATCACCATAGGTGCGAGCGTGATGTCTGCGGGCACATTTTCCCGGCAAATGAAGCGTGGCCAGACCGCAGATTGACCGCAGAGAATGGAGGCAGCGAGTGACAGGATGGCCGCGGATCAGTAGTGTTTTGTCGCGCGAGCGATCAACACGTGTTCGAGAAACGAGTGACTCACGTACGTACACACGTCTCGGTATTTACGCGAGCAAAAAATATATCAGACGTACATATTAACGACGCATACGTAACGTGTATTCCCCGCGTTACAAACAGCTGATCCGAACCGCGTATTTTGATTCGCGCCATTTTATAAGTTAAGTCAGTTCTCTCATCTCGAATGATAGTTAGTTTTGATGATTCCGTACGAACCCATTCGGCCCGTGACTCATATAAAATGACGAAAGTTAAGTTGAAACGCTCCTCGAGGCCCGGTTCCCGCTAATGTGTTGTAAGTTAAGGAAAATTATGTGAACTAGCGTGTAACAAGTTCAGTTATAATTAAGTGTACACGAAAACTCATGTGATGCGTTATAATACATAGCTTCTAATGTACGAACATTTTTAATTACATACTTCCAAGTGTCAATACTAACAGTAGTTGGTGATTCAAATGAACAATAACGCGGAAAAAGTTCTGGCTGAGTTCCAAAGGAGTTAAGTTTTGAATAATACAAACAATACATTACTCATCAGTACGAGAAAGTTATTCTATATCCAAAAAAGAAACATTTAAAAATTACTATAAACTCAACGACTGAAATTGATTATAGTCCAAGAGCTAGCGTTTTCTGGAAGAACAAATTAAGCAACTTAATAGCTTGTATCCAAGAGCTACCAGCCGATGTAAAGGTTCATCGGTGATGTATTAAAGGATGCACTTGCCGTACGAGTCTCGAGGCCGTCGGCGGCGAGAAATGGCCGAAATAGAACCCTGGTGGCTGCAGTCCATTATAGACGAGACTTTAGGAGAACATCCCGACCTTGGTAGATAGCTCTTACACTATAAACACACACACACACACACACACACTCACACGCAATTGTTATGAGATGTAAGACTTAGACAAGTATTCATTTAAATGAAACTAATATTTTATTTATTAATTAATACGCGTATTTTATTATTTTTAACGAACAGACGAGATGTCTGCCGTAATCACGGTTGCTGCAAAGTATGTAATTTTTAAACATAATATACGTAGCAATCCGATAAATATTAGTTTCATTTTAAATGATAATTACATTTGAAATAAGAGTGTTAAGAATCTTTTAATATACTTACAAAATATAATAATATTCCTACAGCCTTACTTTTTGTATGATTTCGATTTATAAAACAAACTAATAATACAAATATTTAAAAATCTTCTGTACTTTTTACTAATTAAAACACACATCCATCTATATACATATATGTAGCTACATATATTTTTATATAAGATTTTCGAGTATACACTTTCATTTAGTACACTTGTAATCACGGTTGCTGTAAAATAACAAAATTCTTGAATCATATACTCGTACATAGAAAATAAAAACTTGTAGAATTCCAATAAAAAGTTCCATATACAGTAAAAATCTGTAGGGTGTTCACACGATGCGTAATTAATTACATAACTTTTGGTTAACTTTACTTAGAAGTTTATTAATATTTATGTTATATTAATTTTTATTTTGTCATATATGATCGTCAAATATCACGTCCTTAAATATCGATAGTAATTCACCAGTCACCCTGTATATATAATTACTATTGTAGTTCTCATTTTATTTATACTCCCAATAGTTTCGTGTACAAGCTTTATATGTATAAATAAACCGTGTATTTTCCTTTATTTGCGGAAATATTTTTGTCTAAATGCAAACATAACGTTATTTATTACACGAACGATGTAAAAATAACGTGAAGTTGCGGGAATTACCGCGTTTTAATTAAATTTTATAGTAATAGTGATGTATGTATGTATGTTACACAATAACTCCGAAACAATACTATATTGATACAAGCTTTGGAAGTGTATGTATTATATAAAAAGAAGGTTTTACTTTGCGTATTATTTGAAAAGAAATACCTAAGTTTCATAATAAAAATTATTAATTTCTCTTGTTGTCTTAAATCCGAACAAATAATACTATACTTTTCCCGTAACTTCACTCATGTTTTTCCAATAGTAACAATAACGGAACCGATTTGGGATTTTACCTTTGATATAAAAAAACCTGATTATATTATTTGTTTAATACGATTAATATATATATATATATATATATTTATAAATGCCTGGATCTTATACAACCTAAATAATAAAAAGTATTATAATTTATAAGTATAATTGAATAAAATAATGACGTTTGTGATATCACAACTTTTTTTGACAGTAAAAAGTATTTACTATTTTTTTTTTTACAAATAAATTAATTTTGATATACAACTAATTTATAAGGAAACAATTAGTATTAGTATTCATAAACGTAACGTCATATTATTATTTAAAATGGAGGTTGTATATAAGGCTATATATTAATATAATACATAATATAATTAAAATATTAATACAAATGTTAATTCCATCTATTCGTAGAGGCTTAGATATTACCCGGTCTAACAAAAGACATCAACGCATATCATATAAAATAAAATTGAAGCCTGAACTTTCCTTTAATATACATATTACATAGATATCAATATAAAAATATATATTATAAGAACATATCAAATAAAAAACCACTAGTGAAGTTAAAAAGCAAAGCTAGTATAATTCTGAAAGTACTTATTAATGAGATTATTCAAGATATTGAAGTTAAAACAGCTTAAAAAGGATTTTTCATACAAATAGCATTAAGCTAATAATACGACCTAAGAAATTATTATAGCGTTAGTTTAGTCCTTTTTTTAATTTGATTGAATAGTGCTTGACTATCATTCAGGCTTTTGAAAGGTGGAAATTTACGTATGTAATGAAGGTAAAAGTCAGTAACTATGTCAGTAAAAGAATATTCACTCCTTTTTGAAAAAACCTAAATAATAACTCAACGAAAACAAAAGCTAGCAAAACTTTGTTAAAATATCTTTCATATATAAAGTAGGAAAAGCATTTTTTTTGTGATATTTAAAGGTTTTAATATTAAATTTAATATATTATTAAATCCTATTTTTTCAATATTTATAGTTATAATTAAGATTTATACATTTTAATTTTTATAAATAGTACGCCACATGGAAAAAATATAAAAAGTTTCATTTTCATTAACATATTTCATTTGTGATGCACAAAATATTTCTTCATTTAAATTAATAACTAGATATTAAATATAAATTTAAAAAGAAACAATATTAAGACTATCGCTAGTAATCGTATTAAACGAGTAGTAATCCGAAAACATAAGTACCTATGTATTATCTAAACAAAATATTTATTTACAAAATCATTATATATCTTTATATAGGTATATAATTCTTCTGTGAGTGTGTACTCGTATGTCACTGAACTTCTCTCAAACGACTGGACCGATTTTGATGAAATTTTTTGTGTGTCTTCAAGGGGATCTGGGAATGGTTTAGATTCACAATTTTATCCGCTGGACAATGTTTTTTTAATTAATTTTTAATTTATTAGTAGTTGTTGAAACAAACATTTCTTTTGACATTAGATTTGACAACTAATATGTCAACCATTCTGTCGCACTTCAAAACACAGAGATTTGTGGCTTTAATAGGTAAACTCCAAAAATATAAATAAAAAAACGTAACAGATATTCCTTGATTATAGAGCGATACGAAGTTCGTCGGGTATTCTAGTATAATTCTATAATAAATAGATTTTAATCCTTTCTCTAATCTTAATATTGTCTAACCCGTAGTGTCTGGACCTCACCAAACCACGGCGTATAATTTGTGCGCATCCGTAAATAGAGAAACCACAGTTAAAATATTAATGTTTTTTTATAACTTACTGAACCGCTAACCGTTTTTGTGAGACATTTAAACTTGACCGTTAAAATATTTAAACCACATCTTATACCAAACCTCATTTGATTTTGTAATCAATTGATTATCTTCTTCCTGGCAATTTCCTAGCTTCAGCCAGGGTCTGCCTTACATGTGAATAGTTTCGGCTAATTGTTTTTACGACCGGCCGCCTGCCTGACATCAACCCTCTTTGGGGAATGCATTAATCAGTGATGTCTAAATACTCTTAGAAAGTACATATGACTCGGAATCACATTGGTACTTGCCAGGATCGAACCCGCGCCCTCATGCATGAGAGGCGGACCTTTAACCACTAGGCCACCACTGACTCGACGCGTGCTATGTTGCTTTGGTATTCATAATATATATTATATTTATATATATACATCACATAGTATTTATTATATGTGTTATTAAAATATTTGTATAGAAAAGGTTCTGAGATAATATCGTTCAGAAATGTATAATTTCTGAACTGAATATTGACAAACACAAAACATAAAAATAAAATATTTTAAATCTGTATTTTCTAAATGATTTTAAAATTAATACACATCCTTAGGTACTCACAAAAAGTAAATTTTTTGAACCAAATTTAACACATTTATACTCAAGACATCAAATAAACGAACGGTATCATGAAAACCGGACAGCTTAAAACAAATTAAATCTATATAATATTTTAAATTATCGTTTTTTTTATATTATCTTCTATAATTTGTATTAACCACTATTAAACCACAAGGCCACTACCGTTAAGTATTTTTTAACTTCTATCTATCGGTTTAACTTTGGTAAGTCGCTACTGAGTCTTATACCTTTAGTCCTTACCAATAGTAAACGTAAACTTATTACTTGCAGTTTTCAGTTTCATAATTATTGTTACTTAAAACTAAGGTACATTTATAAAGAACTAGCTGCGCCCCGCGGTGTTCCGGATTTCCGGGATTTAAGGTAGCCTATGTGTTATTCCTGGAAGTCACCTTCCTGTATACAAAATTTTATCAAAATCAGTTCTGCCGTTTGAGCGTGAAGAAGTAACAACCATACACACACACTCACAAACTTTCGCAATTATAATATTAGTAGGATTTCGCGACTATTCATTCAAATATAGCTAACTAATAGTTTCGGATTACTATGCGTTTTTTGTTATTTTAACTACATACGCTCTCCGTTTCGGTTACTTTTCAGCAACCGTGATTTTCATAACAAATATAAGTTTTATTTTCATTTATTTTAGTTTTTCATGACTTAGTCGGTTAGGTTTCTGCTCGTCAATAATTCAGAATTAAAAATAGTACAGTCTCTAAAAGTGCATTTGTCTAAACACTGATAACTAAACTTTATTTGATTAAACCAACTTTGACTGGTTTTTATTGAACTGAATTATATTTGAACCTACTAATATATGTTTTTAGAACATAAAATGTATTAAATTAGCTTATATTTGATATTTATATAATATTAGTTTTTGTCCTCGATTTGGCTTCGAATTGGGATTGGATAGAAATATAAAAAACTGTGTTTAAACAATGGGTATGGTAATTGAGAAGCAAGATCTGGATAGTCTGAATCACTTGACATTACACGCAACATAACTAATATGAATTCTGGGAAAAATTATATCCTATGTCTTATTCTGTTATCTAAACAACACCACTGTAAAGTTTAATCATAATCTGTGAAGTCATTTTAACGTTAAACAGTCACAAACATCCATACATACTCACTAATATTTGCACTAAAATATTAGTAGAATTAGTTGAATTGCCCGTCAGTAATATATCTAAATAGTCATCTTTATATAAACTACTTTTAATTTTTCTATGTTCTAATCTGTTCAAAACCATTATGAATAACATATTTTAGGCAGACCCTGGCTAATGCTCTGAAATTGCCAGGTAGACGAAGATGTTTTTAAGTCGCGATTACATATATTTTTAATAAGTACACTCCACATGAAGACATTAGTTCCAACAGGTTACAGTAACCAAAAACATAGAATATACCACGCTCATTAATTTTTTAATTATCATATAGATAACAATGTCCGGCTGTTGGTATTTCAAATGTAATGAGCTATAAACTAAACTTAAATTATTTTCCTCATATTATCTTATTCTATGGTATTTCCAATTACATATTAAAATTAATATTGTCAACATTGCCATACGTGATTATAATTATTGTATAGACATATTAATATATTTCTTTTTTTCAGTGCGAACTGGCAGCCCTGATTACATGTGTTCAATGCTGCCACAACACTGGCGCTCGAACAAAACTTTACCTGGTGGTTTCAAGGTGGTAGCATTGGGGGACGTGGTAGATGGGACTCAAGTCACCGTCAGGGCTGGCAATGATGAGAACTGTTCTGCGGAATTGAGGAATAATACTGCTGTTATGAAGAATAGGATCGCTAAGTTCAACGACCTCAGATTCGTCGGTAGAAGTGGACGGGGTATGACATATTATTTTTTATTTATCACAGATTAAAAATAACTTTATAGTCTGTGTATCATAATATAATCTGTGATTTAGCGTCAGGTGTGTGATTAAATATAAGCTAATCACAAGCGAATCGAACTGTAAAATTTAAAAGGTCATTATATCTGAACGCAAATCGTGCCGGACGTTGGATTAGTCAACTATTATCCTCTACCGTAGGTATTAGTTCAACGCTTATTGTTGAACCTGAGTTAAATTTTAATATTAAGTTCAAGTTCAATAATAAAAAGATATAAAACCTCAATTTAGGATAGAGTTTTGAAAAACTTTTGGAAATTTTTACTTTTCAAATATATTTTATACATTAAAAAATACTAAAACAAAAACAATGAAGATATTCGATTAAATATAAAATTAATTTATCCATATTTTTTTCCATTAAAAATAAATATTAAATCTAAAAAAAAAAAACTTTCCCCAGCATCAGATTTTAATTTCCAAACCGCAGGCAGTAAACGACGTTCGCGCTTTACTGTTCCATTGTGTTGGCAACACCGACGCCATTACAGGCCCTCATGGACATGTAAAAAGTTGTAAAGTTTCTGCGACTGTTACTAAATATATATGTATATTACATGGCCGGCTTTTGTTACACATAACCAGTACATAAGATCATATTACGTATGCAACCGAAGATATAGAATATGTTTTTACGCTACATTATAATTATTTAACCTTATTCTTTGAACTGAACTAATTATTCTTTTGAATTACCAATAATTAATGCAAATATTCTTTATATGGCAATTCATAAATAGTATTCTAATTAATTTTACCATTGACACTCATACTAATTACTAAATCTGTCTTTACTCTGTTCATAGTCGATCTATTTGTTATAATACTATAGTTATCTTAAACTGTTGGTATACTTTAATATATCGTTAATATGGTTATATTATGAATGTAAGTGGATACTATGCTGTTGTGACATATCAGAGAGATCGCATCTGACAGGCGGCACTCACTGGTCTGCATTTTGGATATCGGTGTAACTTACGTGCTAGTGATTGAATGAATATGATATAGGACCTCTTTAAAAGCTATTCATACGGTACGCTTCAAAAAGTTTATGAAAAAGGAGTTTTGATATAAAAACAAACACGAGTTACATATATCAGGAGTTACTAAAAAAAATGTTATAGTTTTTCCATTTCAAATCGTATTAGGTATATTATAAGAAGTATATCATAAAAAAATCTCTTTAAAAGATATAGATTAAGATTACACTGTACTCATGGATATATAAAAAAGAGGACATCACGCAAATTTATTTTTAAATAAGACGTTACCAAATGATCATTAAATGGAGCACAATCATCGTGCGACGGTCGTGACGAGTGCTCATCATTATGGTCGGTAAATTCGTTTTGTACATTTTCTAGTCACATGTTTGAAGAGGCTATCTGATGACATATATAGGAGTTTAGGAGATCGGCTTCTAAATGTTAACTTGTTATTAACACGAATGATTTTATGTTCTAACTATGTTTCGCTTTCATAAAATCCAGACAAATTCTTCTGTCCAAGAAGTCTTGCAGTTTGATTATACCCTTTTTGGTTTCTTTTTCTTTTCTTGTAAATAATGATGTAGCATTTGCTATAATTTCAAGCATTTACACTAAAAAGTAAAAAAAACTTAAGAAAAATAAAGTTTTCTCAATATAAGGTTATCCAAATCTGTCATGTATATAATTTTTCATTTCTCCTCAATAAGAAAATGTTACTTTTAGAAACGAAACAGCCTTTTGGTACCTATTGTTGGCTGTAAGCCTCCCATAAAACTGCACTGAAAAAGCCCTTCACGTAATGAACTTACAAATGCAATAAGCTGTTATCGTTTTGCTGAAACATGTCGACTGTCGTAGCTGCTATAAGCATCATGAGAGCTCTTCACTCACAAGTGTCACTCAGGATTTACGCTCGATCGTAAATCAAAATGGCCGCCACACCCCACCTCGCCCCCAGCCCACCTGCGCCCGCGCACAATAATTGAATATTTCACGCTGCCCTCTCAACACCTCCAGGAGACGGCAGTTCGGATACAATGTTATGTTTTATGGCTTCGCACGTATTGTGTTAGCTCCTAAACTGTTGATGAGTGATCATGTAGAACGCATTAAGTTTAATAGCGATTTTAAATGCAATATTTCACATCGTTCACGACACGCCTCTTAGAGTTTAGCGTCCAATGTTTTATGATGATTTGTTCTCGTATTGATATGTACGTCGACTCCACTCTAATGTTGCTTTGTGACGAGAAAGTGACACCGATATTGTGATGTCTTTGAAGATTCAGAATATATTATTTACTATCTAACAAAGATTATTATCTAAAAACGATGAAGCCACTTCTAGCTGTTATTTTTCAGCAGCTCTTAATAGTTTTTTGTTGGGATAGAGCTACGAATATTACAGACTTGTCAAAATGAATATATTTCAACCCATACCGAATAAAGAAGTGACACAGTTATTAATGTCTGTGGATAATTTAAACCACTGTTTTTTAAATACTAGCACGAACACTATATGTGTAAACTTGAGCCTTTCTCGATCATTCCATAGAGTAAGAAATGCTTTCACAGTATGAGATGCAACACACACTGTTAATATCCTTAAGTACACTGACAATTGTAAGAATAAAAAATGAAACCTTACCTCTTTACAGCAAAAACTATATCTGTACCCAGAATGTTTAGGGCCATTTCATAGAAACTTAAAACAAAATTAAAAAGTATATCAGTCAAATATTAAAACGTCACACGTCATAATTAGCAACATGTATATAAGACCTTTTTTGTTTAGTTGTTTTAAATATAGCTTTCATCAGCGTAAACACATGCACAATATATTCTGCCAGTGTCGTGTATCAGGCCTTTAGGATGAATACAACCTTTGACATTTCATTATCCGTCTACCCTTGTATGATTTCAGCCCAAAACTTTGTTATTATTTAATTTTAACATTTCATGAACTTCATCTAGAAGCGTCAGTGAACATTGATTTTTGTTATAGAACCTAAATAATATGTGTATTCTTAATATCTGATTTTTCTCATTATAAATATGAGTTTATTTAATCATTTAAAGAACTCTTAGTATTCTGTACTTCCTATATAATTGTTACTACGTATAATATTCTCAAACTAGATAAAGTTTTCAATAAATCCAATTATATTCAATGTCAATGTACAAAAGGGAAATAAAATTTATTGAGCATAATAAAATTTTGCTTTTACAAACTAATTTTAATATATTAGTCATATATATTACTTGGGTAATACTTTTAACTCTCAATTTTCCTTAACATGTTCACAAGTCAACCTTAACCTGTCTATTTCCATGTGTAACTAAAATTTAGTTTCAAATTCCCCAAGCCTTTTAATCATAGCCTTATATCCGCTAACCTTCGCTAGTTAATAAGTATAGATTCCAGTGAAAATTAATAATAAAATTGCATTAATAAAATCAATATTTTAAAATGTATATGAAATGTATTGCCCCTGTCCAGAACTCACATTAATTCATTCTTGGAACGTACTTTGAAGGCAGCCCTAGTAGGTTCTTTTCAAATTAGGTAGAGAGAGGAGCTTGGACAGTGCAGGTGAGCGTTTAACGCGCGTTAGATAAGGGTCCCTTAAACCTTCACTTGGGTCGCAAGTCCCAGGCACTGTTGAAGCTCTTCTCACTACAACGATGGACCCGTCACCAATACGATGAATACATTGGATGCTAAGAGGTTTCGCCTCTTACTTTATCATTGTGTTGTAAAGGAGATTTTGACTGTACATTCCCATGTTTTTAGCACATACATCTTATCTTTGTTTGATAAATATTCATTTGAATTCCAATGCATTTATATATTAAATTTCATAATACGAATGGCTGAGATAAAAGATAGTTTAAAACTTTTTTTTTTTGTTTCCATATTTTTATCTAACCAGCGTCCAAAAAGATTCCTTTAATATACAACCTCATTGGTCCATGTATTATGAAATATTTATTTATCTATATTAAATAAAACATTACAATTAAAATACTACTGATAGGTCAACATTATTTTTGTAGTGACAAGTCTTGACTCGTATGATTTATCAGGAAACTGTTAGCTCGTATTATTGTTATCGGTGGGAACCGCTATGAAATTAATTAATATATATTTTTTTAGAATTCTATACCAAAAATAATATATTTTTATCTTATAATTGTAATATGATATATTTTTTAGTCAATATATTAAATGTTTTAATTTTATTTTCTTTAAAGTGATGAAGATTATTTTATTTGTAGAAAAAAAAACTATTTTAATTCTATAGGTACAAAGTCTACATCACTATGCCAGATTTAACATATATATTGATAAATTAATAATTTTTTTTAATAGTACTATATTAATGAGTTTTATCAAACGTATGTAGTATGTAAAAGGAATATATAATATGGCTAACTCCGGGTCATGTGAATCAATCATTTATACTAAATAGTGAGCGTTACACGCGAATTATCTGCATTAGACATGTTAATCCACTCATTTTAACTGTAATTTTATTCCGTATTTATCGGTGCATTCATTACTGGTAACCGCAAATCGGGCGCCCAAAAAGCTCGCTATTTTCCCTTGCCTATACATAGGGTTGATACTTGGTTATAACTCAAGGAACTACCTGCGGTATGTTATATGTATACTAGAAAACAAATTAACAACATCGTATTAATAGCTCTGATAGAAATAACAGAAAATTTTGATATATACACTTATATAGTCTTAAAACTACATATGAAATACCATTGACAAATTCTGTATGTCGATTTCGATAAACATTTAAATGATTTTCATTCAAATCATATAACAATTTATACAACCTGATCATTTAAATTTAACTAACAAATTATTATGATGGAAAATAAAAAAATATGAATGTAAATGAATTATTGAATGATCGTACATATTTTTATACCGCCAACCCTGAGGCACGCGAAGGTTGGGGATGTGCAACACACGTGATGGACACATTCAACAATATTTAACATACATCAAGCTATTTTGAATTTGTTACAGGCTTGCCTAAATACTGGTATTGTTGATTTAATGCACATTATATTACTATGAGCTATCCACAACTGTGTGAAAGCCCTTATGAGTTATGCCAGAAAGTAGCTTATCCCTACTAATATTATAAATGCGAAAGTAAATCTGTCTGTCTGTTATGCTTTCACGCCTAAACCACTGAACTGATTTCAATGAAATTAGGTACAGAGATAGAGTTGACCTTGAGAAAGAACATAGGATAGTTTTTATCCCAGTCTTATGAAAAGTTCTCTTAGAAACGCGATATAACCGAACTCCACGCGGGCGAAGCTGCGGGCAGAAAGTTAGTTACGTATAAAAACGTTGTACCTTAAATATATGGTACTGTTGTTAATAGATTCGAGTCTGCTGTATGGATAAAGCACAGATATTGTGGTATAAAGTGACTTAATACTTTTAGGTCGTTTGAGTGATGACGCTAGCAGTTCTAGGTCTTTCTATCTGTTTGATTACAATATGACTTTCCCTGCTCTAGTCGGAATAGCTATAGGGCTGATCCATATATTTATTTTATACACAAACAAATCGCATAATAATGGAATTAGTATGTCATTTTACAGATAAAACAACATATACGTTTTCTTAAAGAAATAAACGTGAACCTGACATTATTTTAATATCTTTATATCCATCGACTTATACTAATGGACATGCCTTAGAGATGAGAATTGTGCCACTCCAAAAGAAAGAGATGAAACGAAGTTTCGTTCTATCTTTATCTCTCTCAAAATAGTACCGTACCTATTAGGAAAGAGATAGTGCTAGACGGAAAGCATAGGCCATCTCTCTCACTCTCAAACCAAAAATTACTGCAGATTATAGGGGTACGGCATGCCCTTAATAAGATGTTTATATCTATTAAACTAATCACTTATTAACTTATATTAATTTTTGTTGTAGGTAAGAGCTTTTCATTGACAATAACGGTGTCGACCTCACCACCACAGGTCGCGACCTACCTGAAGGCTATCAAAGTCACTGTGGACGGACCGAGGGAACCAAGATCGAAAACTAGTAAGTAAAATAACCAATTTATCTTCATATTTCTAATCAAAACAATAGGTTAGGTAGGGAGAGGAGCTTGGACAGTGGAGGTGAGCGTATAACGCGCGTTTGATAAGGGACCCTTAAACCTACACCTGGGTCACAAGTCCCAGGCACTGTTGAAGCTCCTCTCCCTGCAACGATGGACCCGGCACCCGCACGGTGAATCCGTGGAATGCTGAGAAGTTTCGTCTCTGTATATCTTCTAAATGGTCTTAAACTTGTTCAGATTATATCGTGGTTGTAGTGAATTGTGTGAACATTAGTTGGTAGATAGAAGTGAAAAATCATTTTTTATCATGTAATGGTAATACTAACCTAGACGTTGTGGAAAATTACTTAAAAATCGTTTGAACTGTGGCATGAATTACAAATATACCGTTGAGATATATTCTTACACCATCAATATATATATGTGTGAAGGGATCACTTTGACAGCACGTTTAATTAACGCTTAATCCTAGAACCATAAACAATATTTGCTGTAATTTATAACCATAGATAAAATAAAATCGAACAACCAAACTAAACAGCAAAACAAAATATTAAATATTGACATAATATCAATGAATTTAATTTAAAAGTAAATTAAACACAAATTGATTGGGCATGTCGTTTCGCCGGTAGCAGAATATGTCATTATTCGTTGCTATGTTACAAAAACCGCACGGGAGACGTAAACAATTAAAATATATCAGTACTTCTATTATCGTTAATAATTTTCATATGCGATACGCTGCGGTTGTACTATCTGCTGGCAGATAACAGTTTTCTTCCCACGGGATTCCATATGTCAACGGGTCACTCGGCGAAGGACGTCAGGGAGTAATAATACTTACATTTTTTTGGATTCCGTACAAAAATATTAAGACTTGTTTATCTATCATTGACAATTTGACTAATGTCATTTTAACAGATTATATGTATATGTATTTCTGTCATAGCAACAGATGATAAAATCCCTACTAATATTATAAATGCGAAATTAACTCTGTCTGTCTCTCTGTTACGCTTTCACGTCTAAACCACCGAACTGATTTTAATGAAATTTGGTACAGAGATAGAGTTGACCTTGAGAAGGACATAGGATAGTTTTTATACCAGACTTTTGAAAGGTTATGTTGGAAACTCGATATAACCGAACTCCACGCGGGCGAAGCTGCGGGCGGAAAGCTAGTATTAAATAAAATTAATATTTATCGTGTTATCTTAAACATATATTATTTTTATATATTGTATCTCACTTTTCATACGCCAGTCCACCTCAGACGTAGGCTATTACATACATATTCTAGATTATATAGTTCTTTCGGAGTAATTTCTGATTTTAGCAACATTGTTCAATATGGCTGTGTATGGTTAATTACTTACATTACAGTTGAGTTCAAAATGTGTCCACGAACGAATTTCCATGTATTAATGAAAAGGAAACCGCACAATTTATTTGTACCTATTTAAAAGCACATTATTAAATAGTATAATTTTATAGTTGTTTCACGTTTGGTACACCGAAGATGAGAGATACATACATGTACAGATGTGGTCTTATTTTAAATTATTAATTAAATAATAGTAACAAAAAAGTTGTTCTCGAAGTTTTGTATACATCTCCTATGCAATAATTCTAGATAAAACTAATGATTCCATATGATAATCCAACATCAATTATCAAATTGAAAATAGGTAAAGCAAAAGTTTCGTAGATGTTCTTTTTGTTTGCGAACCAATTATGACCACTTTCTTCAAGTTATTGTTTTCCCAGAAGAGTCCAAAACGTATGTACATAGTTGTGTAATTAGTAATTACACTATAAAATGTACTAAACATCCTTGTTTTCTACCATTTTTATTCCACTTTATCTAATATCTATAAAATAAAACATGTCAGTAAAAAACCTAGGTTGCTTCCGCGTGATCTTTCTGTGTTTTATTTATTTTTGTATTTAATTTGGCTTGTAAGTCTAATTTTTGTTACAATTAGAAGGGTGCCCTTTATTTTAATCCAGGAAAGGAAGAATTAAATTCTAATTGTAATAATTCATAAAAAAAACTGTGAAGGTTTCTGTACATACATTTAAATTTAAACACAAAATTAAAATAATAACGAACGAACTTATTGACGAATTTACTAATAAGCTTATATTGAGCATCCTTATTGACCAATTGGCCACCCACAATTAGATCATCTATAAATACTAATAGAAAAAAAAGGTTTATTACGAATTTCACTAAAAAAATCTATATAATAATACCTGCCTACCAGTCACGCGAAACTAAGGACTTAACTCAAAGGAGCCAGCGCTATCGAAATTGGCTGAAACGTTACACCATATGGCCATACAGACAATAGTGGAATTACACATATAATAAGTCCAACTCACGCACGCAACACAACTGCTACCAGTACCTTTGTACAGACCTCCGACAACCAACTTCAGATATATTTAATTAAGTATACAATATTATAAAGTAATACAATATTACCTCGAGTATTCAACTCGGATCTTGTAAGGAATATGGCAAAATCGCTCTTTGTCGTACTAAATTGAATTATATACAATTAATATAAAGTCTAATCTAAAAATAGTTATTTAATTCAGAATATATTAACAAGAATATAATATTTATCATATGTAATAAAATACATAACTTGTGCGTATTCCATAGTTACAATGCATTTTATATAAAATAAAACAAAAGAAAACTCTTCCAATGCATTTTGTATTAGAAATTGTGTGATATTGAGTCAAGAATATTAATTATCACGTTCTTAAAACGAATGTAGCCAAAAAAAGGCATGTTAATTATGTTAATGAGGACGCCGTACACAAAAAACACCTGTTTATAAAAAATTTGTTACAAATATAACCACAGTATTATGTTTTTTCAAATAAATCTACAAGATTCCGATACATTCAGATATACTATTCATACTTATTACTTTAATCAATCATTCACTATTCAAATACAACAAATCAACTACTGCATTTAAATATAAAAAATATACATACGAAATACAGACTGAAAATATTATCTAAAACAAAATTCACCCCTTTCAATAATACTCGCTGTACGTCACACGTATACAGCGAACAGAAAATCCTGCTTACAGTACAGATATCCAAAAACAAAGAGTTCACAACAAAAGAGGTACTTAGCGTAAGCCTCAAAACTCTGCTGGACAAGAAAGGAAGATCCGTGCACAAGGGACTTAAAAGTTTGACTTAATAGACTTAATTTGCAGGACCCGTAAGCGGCTTCGTAGGGTCACTTTAATTGTGCTGTCCTCAGCTATGTATCGAATATCGAGTATCGATAAGGTGGAATAAATATCGATAACAATTGAATCGTATAAAAATCTACATATATACTTAGATTATAATCCACATATTGAAAATTAACATTTTTTAAATAAAAAAAAATCGATATTGAACGCACAACACTCATAATCATAATCAACTCCCGCCTTTGTTAGCGTCGATTTCATAATATAATTGCGGTGTCGATTATATTCTGGCGCATTGTGTAAACTCATAAACTAATTATGTGCATTTTTTTTAGTCTACAGTTTCGATAATTGCGTCGGTGCGTCTAAAAGAGGCGGATGATTTCGGCCTTCGGTCTGTCATTTTTGGTGCAAAAAAAAAATAATCTTTTGTTCCTAATAAGATGACTGACACATGGCTATTTATTTCGAACACAGGAAATGCAATTTTAATATTTCTTTTCTTCATCGGAAGTTCTGTTTGTTAATGCATGTTTTTAGAAACGAGGCTTTAAATGAAACTATTGAGAATTTATGGTTTACATATTTAGTTATATGTACTTTAATAATCATTAGCGGTATAATTATAGTAGATACGTCTCTTAAAAGATTATTTATCACAGAAATTTTACATTTGTTTCTGTTATCAGTGTATCTAAAATAGACTTATTAATTATTATGCAATACAATATTGTTAAAAAATTGCAAAACTAAAAGATAATCTTTCAAACATTTTATTTCTCGACACTTTATAACAAGGGGACATTTAATATAACATATTATTAGGTGACAGTATATGACGTCATCAAAATCTCCAATAAAATCTAATTAACACATACAGTATTAATCTCCAAATAACTAAATATTTATGTATTATTTTGTCCACCAGGTACAAACACTTCACCTCATCCGATAAGATCGTTGTCCTTCCAGCGTTCTTTCATTCCAAGCTCCAGCATGGCCATGAGGGACATGGAATTCAAGTCTTCAACCAGAAGTCTACGGTCATTATCACACGAAGAAAGAGAATATAAGACTAACGCCAATCTACCCACAGAAGGTAATGTACTTTAAGATTTATATATATACTAGCTGCGCCCCGCGGTGTTACCCATTGATTTCCGGGATGTAAAGTAGCCTATGTGTTATTCCTGGACGTCAGCTTCCTGTATACAAAATTTTTTCAAAATCAGTTCAACCGTTTGAGCGTGAAGAAGTAACAAACATACACACACACTCACAAATTTTCGCAATTATAACATTAGTAGGATGATTAGTCGGGGCCAAGAGTTTTCATAAAACAGTTATTGTTTTAGATGACAACGTACGAATTTCTTTATTATTTAATCTTGAATACAATTCAATTATTTAATCTGTGGCATTTTGTGAAATTGCACAGCACATTCTGCCAATGTCACTTAGAATGAAAAACATTATTCCTTTATATTTTTCAATCATAATTCATGTTACTGATAGCTATGGCTCAGTGAAACTAATTTAGAACGTAATTATTTTCTAAATAAGAACGCGAATGTCCTGAGCCGTTAAATTTATTAACATTTCGCTTATTTCATCTTACAATGAGAACCCTTACTGCCTTATTTACGGAGCTACGAACTAACGCCTTTAAATCTCACAGACAGACCACATAATTTATAATATAAACTTTTTACGTCATTAATATTTAAGATATCTTTAAAATCAATATTTTCTTTAATAACTTAAATCAGTTCAAACATAAATAAAGATATACATTTTTGCCTATTTTGTATATTATACAACGAAATTATATAAAATACCGAATACATTATGGAAGTTTAAATATAATTTAATATTAAATATCCGTCCCCTCTATACATTATAAGTGCAGCACGTTTAAAAAGCAATCGCAAAAGCTTTCATCAGCACTCGGCAATCTGCGCGCGCGCCTTAATAGCTTACATTACACGGCATCATGTCAACTTGTTTATTTGATTAACTCATTTGTATCGTAACATTTACATCATAATAACATAATTATACAATTATTATACGATAAACTTTATTATTTTTACGAATTAGGGTGAAAAATACTTAGTTTTAATCATAAAAATTATACGAGTATATCCAAATTGAACCATTACGTAAATACTTTAAGAATCTATAAATCAAATGTCAAATTTGACAGCTGCATGTTGCCCTTAAAATTGTAGATCAAAAAATCTTAAATAACATAATAATATTAGTAATTCGTATCTTTTATGTCAATTGCATCTAAAATTCTTTATCTAAGCAATAATTTTACCAAATTTTAATTTCATATTATGTTATTTAGATTACTTACTTTTTTACACAATTACATTAGCTCTAGACATTACAAACAATGAATTATTACATTGATCGAAAATTTAAATAGGTACTATTCAAATAAACATAAAAGGAATACCTTAATCTAGATTATTTAATATAATATTTAAAATATGTAATTCACAAAGATAAGTAATTTATTTATAAATAACTAACTAATAACTAATAAGTAACATATAAAAACGATTCCTTCAATCACATGCTTGTGTCCATCCAAATTGGCCCCTCGTCGGAACAGTAGTCAGAACAACATTTCGATCTGTACGTGCATATTATATGATGATATCGGGGCGAACGGAACGGGTCAATTATACGACTTGATGGAACACCTTGCCCGTTCCGATTTACGACCCGGCGAACAATTGTTACCGTAAAATAACAACAAATAGATATGACAGGACTGAATTCAATTTGATCGTAATATATACATAGAACATAATACAAATACACTAAGATTAGATCAATTTATACTATTTTAAATACCTAATTATCTCATAATTGCCATAGACAAGTAATTTAATACTAAAAAAAGTATTCTGTCACTGTCATTTTTTTTTGTCATAAAAATAGAGCAACATTTAAATAACGATCTCGTAATGTTGCTTCCATAGACAAAGTCAACGTCCTCTGGATGGGCAATGAGATAGAATAATAACAATAACTTCAAATGCGATCTGAAGAAAAAACAGATGCCGACACAATGTCATTATGGCAGCGTAACAACGAACATAGAACTATTAAACTGCTAGAAGTGAACACATTTAATAACAAGCCCGCTCTAATCTTTGTTAGAACCTATATGACATGACATTGACTTTGACATTTCCTTTATATCTCGTAAAAAGGTGTAATATTTAATGGTTTTACTTCTCTATACATTTAAAAAACATAAAAATCGCCCCCATTTCTCTTAAATCTCTCCAATAGTTTACAATGTATTATTAATTTGAATCAAATCATAAAACTTTAGTACGCGTCGGAAGGAGAGTTGAAAGTAAGAAAGTCATTTTTATAAACATCTGAATTGTTGAACGTAATATTACATCGCACCTCATTTCCTGTCGAATATCATCCATCGGTTTGATTGATCAATTTCGACGGGTGCCATGATTGGCTACTGCTATTGTTACTTTAAGACATTTCACATTACAATAACTCGTAGATAAAGCTTTATCCTACGGAATCACTATAAAACGAGCTTTGTATAACAAAATATTAAATAATCCGTTCGGTACGGCGGCGTCGCGTATTACTGCGGTTACACTTACTCAAATAAAGTCAATCTTGGTGCGGGCGAGGGTCCGTGTGAAAATTTGATAACCCATCTATAGATCGATGAGGCTGCAGGCATCGTGGGCTAATATCTGTGGTTACAATCTGTGTGCTACTGTTTTGTGTTATGGACACGAATTACCAGAAGCAACGCACGCGCTCTGACTGCAGTCTACACTATGATCACTAGAGGGCGTTGGATATTTACGATTTGTACTTATTATCCTTTCATATATATAGTTAATATATAAAAGTAACAACATATTAGGTATTTCATAATGATTATTGACTATACGTTAATTTAAATAAATTTTATATCGCGTACATATATACGTAAGTACCAAAACAATCTATCTCTGAGGTATAATGTTAAAAAACTATCAAAAAACTCGTTTTTAATTTCTTTTACTAATAAAAAAAAATAAAATCAGTTCACTTGTTATCCAATACAAAAGATTTCGAAATATTTCAATACTTTTTCAATTATTTATGAACACATTAAATTCGTAAGCGTTCAGGTTGACCATTATATCTAACTAATGATACAATTAAACCAAATTTTCTAAGATAATCCGCTATTTTCTTGATCTTTTTATAGGGCCCATTAGTTTCCATTTTAAATGACACCCATAGTTCGTCTCCACTTGAACACAGTACTAACATCTCGCCACAAACCACAGCTCCTAGATAAACCGGATAACTGGATATATAGGTTTTATAAGTAACAAAAATCACTATAATATGTACTACATAAGATATAAAATAAACTCTTTTTAACCCAAACATATATTAACACAATATACTGCATATCGTAGCCCAAGAATGGTCAGAATAGAAAAGGTTGGAATCCTTTGCCGATTGGCAAACAGATCTGCTGAAAATAAAGAAATCTCAATTAGTAGAATAAGATTAAAATGCAATAGTATTTTTTTATGTAAGATCAGAACAAATTATTTATTATTATTCATCATCATCATCAGCCTATCAGCGCCCACTGCTGAGCAAAGGCCTCTTTCTCACATGGAGAAGGTTTGAGCATTAATCACCACGCTTGCTCAAGACGGGTTGGTGATTTCAAACTTATAATTGTGAAACTATAAGTCCAGGTTTCCTCACGATGTTTTCCTTCACCGTATGTCAGTGGTGTCTAAATACTCTCAGAAAGTACATATGACTTCGAAAAATCACATTGGTACTTACCAGGTTTGAACCCGCGCCCTCGGCAACGAGAGGCGGACCCTTTAACCACTAGGCCACCACTGACTGTATTATTATTATTATACTACATATATTTTCTAATTCCATCATAATGATTATCACAAAACGAATAGCCACATATAATAATAATGATTCTAATTCTATTTAGGATCTAATTTAATACGTCTGGCCATGTTGTCTTTATTATTCAGTTTATTTTCCGTTTCCCCTCTCGTTAACAATCAACCACTATTTTCCGCGGCCATCTTTACGCATTTGCAATAAATTCGTAAATGCGCGGTCAATGAGCCAACCACAGACTTAGCAGATTTACATTCTTATTTTAAGCCTAGGACGAATTTAGAATGGAAGTTAAGGTTCAATTTAATGTGGTAATTAGCATAAGCATAAATTAGTGTGTCTCCCTTTTTAAAAAATTACTATAATTACCCTTAATTACATCTAAATGTATATTTAATTTAAATAAATAACTTTCACATTTATCTCGTCTGTCTGTGATCACTTTGCAAAGAAACTGAAAATTTGGAATTATGTTGTTGTAAAGTAAAAAGTAGTTGTAATATCTGAAAACTTTATTTTTTTATGTAGAGTACATGAATATACGAAAAAATTTTAGACATCATTATGCATATTTCATTTAGTTTAAAAATTATATTTAATAATTTTTTTGGATTACCATTTCTTACAATGGCAACAAAACTTAATTGACTCTGAATACAGCTTTAAGGAAGTTTGAAACCAGTCGGTTCAGACTTTAACTTAAACATTAAAAAAGAATTGAATATTAACTTATATATATAAATATATTACGAAGCCTAATTCTTCTTGTAAAGAAATGCCATCTCAATGTATCCTATGCTCCAGTATCCCAACCATTGCTAGGCGGCGAGGAAGTCGGTCTGCGGTTGATGGCCAACGATTTGCTATTGACGTGTCAACTCACACTACAAAACACCAAACGACTATTTAACCGTGTTTATTAAGTCAATGGTACTCAAAATGTATTCCAAATTCAAAAATTTCATTTTTTTTTAATGTCCAGTCTAAATAAGGAAAACGTCGTCAATATACAGCCAATATGATTATCGATATAAAATATCTCAATTGGATAAGTTAAATACATCTTGGTCAGGTGGGTCGATGGTGATGTCTCGCATTTGCGGTCACGGCAGGATACGGTTGTACAGTAATGAGCAACACATAACGAAACCTTACAAATAATTC